GCGCTCTACCAATTGAGCTAACAAGCCAATTGGGAGCTGGTAAATGAATTGGGTCCAAATAAACATCCAATTCATTGACCAGCTGCCAGTTGGCTTGTTAGCTCAATTGGTGGAGCGCTGCACCGGTATCGCAGAGGTCATGGGTTCAAATCCCGTACGGGCCTGAATTTTTTTCAGGTTCTATTTACAACTACTCGTTTCAGTAGTGTTCTTAGCTGCGAGGATCTCTTAAGTTCATCTTTCCACCGCAGTGCAAATATATGAATGCACTTTCAATCTCTTTGGCTTTACAATAAGTTCTCAAAAGATTCAACTAATTAAAGTTTGTGTATACTTCATGCAGTTTTTTGTTAAACACCGTGCAATAAATCAAACGCTGCAAGCTTATCTCTAAGTGATACCTGCCAAAGAAAAGTTTTGAAATACTTAAATGAGAAATGAAAAACTAACTGCCAATACAAGGGTCGCTCCCAGGACTTTTCCCGTTGTAACGCTGTTAGCCTCAGAGGGGAGCGTTGGAGGCTGGGAAGCCTTGGCAGAGTCGTAGTCGAAGTTGCATTTGTCTTCTTGACAACTGGCCATCTTAGAGCAGACTGTTTTTTCCCCAAACAGCTTACAAGGATCTTTGTTGCAGTCCTCGTACAAGCAGCAACCTGTCATCAAAAGGAAAATCAAATCCTTATTACTATCACGAGCCTTAGTAGTTCATACGACTTTAAAAGAAGTTGAGAAATGCTAATTGGGTAAACGAAATAAATGTGTCTTATTCAAACTCTTTTATTTTATTTCACCTCATATCATCGCATCGAATGTGATGGAACCTCCTCGTGATGTGATACTCTCTAATCGCATGGCATCGAATATAATGTTATGTCATCTCCTCATGTAATGTCAGGTCGGTCCTGACGTGTCATGCTATGTCGTGTTGTATCACCCCACATCTGTAATATTTGATCTCATCTTTGTCACGTCACGCGATGCAATTTTACGTAAAGGGATGTCATATCGGTCACGCGAGGTCATTTCATTTTTAATCACCGCATTTGTTGTGTCATTTTTTTCCAAGTTATTTTCATTCATGTCTTCCCATGCCTGTCATATCTGTCACGCGAAATCATGACGTGTTATCATACGTTTATCGTGTGATTTTATATGGTGTTTGTTCTAAATGTCTCGATGCACTATCTTATTCCATCATGTCTTGTTTTATTTTTCATTTCATCACATCGCACATCCCAGCTCTCATTATGTCATGTTAATTGCATCAAATCACTTCCCGAAACTGCATTCACATATCACCTCATCGCCTCTCGTTTTAGACATCTTTTCTATCCTCAACAGAGGGTCTCAATGGGGTTAACCGTTAGCTGTAAAACGGCCAAAGAATTTAGCCATTAGGCGTAAAAACTGACAAATGTTAACCGTTAGTCGCTAAAGAAGTTCACTGTAAAAAAAGTTTCTGGTGAAAACAATGGAAAGATATTAACCGCGAGCCGTAAATTGGCCAAAATTTTGACCGTTAGCCGAAAAAGCCATCATCCAATTGAAACCCTCCTAACACGTCTCTCACTTTGAAGTTTCTTACTTTTAAACACTTTGATCGTGTTGTATGAAGTAAAATTGACTGTGTACACTTGACAGGCGAACACAGAACCAGGCATGGATGAATCATCACATTTTACTGTCGCTTTACCAGACCCCTCACAACTTGGTGCAGCTCCACCACAACGATAGCACGTGATCGACCATCCTAAAGACAAAACATTTAAGAATGAAAATGGCTTTTGACCTAGTATCAATTATGATTATAGCAGGCCTTCATTACCAGTGCTGCAGGACACGCGTTTCTCCGCCCTCGGGGAGTTTTGAGATGAGTACGATAGAAGTTTGCCGGGGGTCTGGAACTATTAATCAGCGGTAGATCCCCAGCAGATTTCTCGCCGGTTCACGTTTTTTTTAACCCTTTAACCCCCAGAAGTGATTAACATGTAACTTCTCCTATCCATACATTAGTGAATAAGCAGGTAATGAGAATACTCAAACTTAGACAGCTAGAAGTTGTTATCTTGATCTATAACTAAATTCTAATTCTCAAGGGAATAAGTTGAAGCTAGAAGGGAGAATTAACAATCGGATCTTGGGAGTTAAAGGGTTAAGGCCTCTGACGTTCCCGCGAGGGAAGAACAGGCGCTCGTAAGATGGCACTTAAGATAAGGACGTGATTACGATCACGATCTCGACACGTGATCCATTCCTTTGGGATAAATAAGTTTAAGAGGAAAATGAATTCTGAGAAGAAAAGCAACTTTCTCGTAGATGTTCGCCACAAAGAAATGTACGCACGACCTTAAATGAGTCCATCCGAAACGTTTGTCCTTGAGAGCTATCCCGTCACAACACGTTCCAGCTTAGTGTTAAACTACGTGGCTCAAAATCGTGTTCTTCGCGCGCCATAACAATTGTCTACAACATTCCGATTGATTTTCGTCGACATCTAGGAAGAAGAGATACGTACCTTGCACAAAGACTGAAGCTACAACCCATGCTATTAATAGCAGTTTCATTTTGATCTGAGATGGTTTTCCGGTGCGTCTCGTAAAACTTAAAGGGTAACTGACGGCTAGAAGGTCACTTTTTCGGAATACCGTCTAAATACCTCAGGTAACAAATTGAAACAGAAATAAGGTGCTTCGAATGCCGGGAAAACTGTCCTAAATACAGCTTCGTGAGTTATCCGCCATAAACACTTCAATTTTGATCATGAGACCTGATACGTCACACGTGTGTAAACTAAGCAACGTAAATATGGCGGACAGTAGCTCAACTGAAAGCAGTTCTTCTTCTGGGTCCGATTATTCCGATTCTGAGGCCTTTATAGAGGGTGAAGATAATGAAAGAATTTATGAACCTATTAGTAAAATTGGGCCCTGGCGATTTGAACCGCCAGGATGAACCGAGAATACAGGGCGAGAGTTGGAAGAGAATCAAGAGCCTGTGCGCCGCGGCCGCCTCAATCAGGAAAGTGACGAATGGTGAGTACGATACGTTTTTAAATATAGTGTCTGAAAATCAGTCGCTTATTAAATATAGAAGCGATCAGGGAAATCAAAACCAAATGTGCAGACTCTTGAGTAGCTTGGAAGCGAAGTGATTTATGCTACACGCAGGCACCTTCCGAAGCTTAGGTTTCACAGACTGAAAATAACACGCTTGTGGAGGTGAATTGGATGG